CACCCTTGAAATTTCACAGAAAGAACCTTCAAATGCTAGAGAATTTGTGAAATGATGCCTAGAAATTACACCGACAGCCTTTTTATTGTCAAATAAGCATAGAAAGCAAATTTAAGCAAAATTTTACTTATAAAATTTGGGTGCGCCAATCATTTGACCTACTATTATAAAATGATCTCGACTGACTGATATTAACGTTAGTACGAACGTTAGTATTAACGTTAGTGCGAACGTTAGTATTTACGTTAATACGAACGTTAGTTTAATATTAACGTAATATTAACGTTAATATTAACGTAATATTAACGTTAATACTAACGTTCATATTAACATATAAAAGTGGCTTAGTCACGTGCCGGAAAGTTTTTTGTGGGTGATCTACAGGGGTTCCGCATTAGAATCTTCCCCAGTATCGCCGTCAAAATTTTCACTTTCACGTGAGTGTTTTGGCGCACAAAAAAATCTTTAAGTTCGTTTAAGTTAAAGTTAGTGCCTACGATGGAGTTAAACATTAGTGGGGTTTATAGTAAAATGGCTCAAAGAAAATTTTTGTTAGAACACAAAGGTCGTTTCTTATGCGAATTTTTGAGAAATGTGCAATTTTTGAAAAAGCGAACGTTTTGTTTTGATCTTCGTGATCGTGTAATGTTACATCAAAGCGAGGTTCGCTATTGGATGAGCCATTGTAGATCCTCACGTGAAAGTGAAATTTTGACGGCCCTTTTTTACGTTTGATATATTGTTCTACATACTGCATAAATTATATTCCTGATATTTATATATCAAAAAAAGTAACTTTAACTGTATCAAAAAATGATTATAACGCATCTATGAACTTAAGAGCGTCATTTTTACTGTGTGTTGGTTCATTAATTTCATGAGAAGCAGTCGTACAAATTAATTTGCTAAGTCGGATAATAATTTGAAAAGCATCTAATTAATTTAAGAGCCAAATAGTATAATTGAATAATAGCATAACGGGTATGAAACAAAAAGCAAATCGAGTATCTTTATGACGCCCAAAGTAATAGATCGAATAATAGTAAGATACTTACTTTGGATGTCTAATACTCGCTGTTTGGGTTAAGTCTTTTTTTAGTGTAAAATTCACAAATTAGCCTACAAAATTGGTCTATTTTTGATTTAACAAACAGGCTGCAAAATTTTAGAAATACACGACAAAAAAAATTGGGAGGAACTGTAACAGAACTAGTGCGTACATACGTACAGTAAAGAATAATGCATAAATGTTTTGGGTGAGTGACAATATAGTGGCTCACAATGTGATACGAAGGCATAAATCAACAAATAACACATAACAGCTTAAGAATTGATTCTTAGTTCGAAATTCTTCAATGATTTGGATGAATTTAAAGTTTCGTTTCAGCTTAAGCGTATTTGAAGTGGATCATAAAATCTAGTAAGATTCCATTCCTACAACATTAAGTATAAATATTTTTATAAATCTAGAGCCATGAATTAAAGTTGATAAAATAAATAATTAGAATAGCAATGTGACAATGATTTCGTTAAATTCTAACCATAATCAATATCGTTGCTAAACTATAATTGAAAGGTTTTATGGAGTTTTTACTCCGTAATATGATAAATATTTTTGTATTAAAGATGAAATAATGAATAAATTTAATTAAAGTAAAATATTAATATTTATATTTGCTTTCTTAAATTCCATGTCTAAATATAATGTAATTATTGATAAGTGCAAATTTGTGCTTCGTCTTTCATGAAAAGATGTTTCCAATTTTAGAATTTCTTTCAGATTCTTCTGTTGTGCATTAGATTCGTAATAGGGTATTTATTTTCCATGACTGCGGATTCACATAGTTATCATATTTATTGGTAATTTAAAAGGCGTAGCATAAAGTCTATTTTTAATAAAAAAAAAATCAAAAAAATTTGTATAAGCATTACTTATTATGCTTAATAAAAAATTTTTTTCTCATTCTAATCTTCAACCTTAATATAAATGCTAACCTAACAACATAAACTTTAAAAATTTTTAGTTATCACATGAACATGAAATTTAGCGAATAAACTGAGTGTTTGAGTGAAAATTTTTTCAACGCATACAATTCTACACAACAAAGATTCTAATTAAAAATGATAAAATAAATATGCCAAGACTTAATAATCAGTTATTATAATTCATAAAATTTTAAAATAATCCGTACTAGTGCAGAGAGATTAAGAATTCTTGATTTAGATCACGATAAATATAAAATTTTAATATATCCATTTTACATATTTAAATAGTATATTCAAACAAGACTTTGTACTTTATTTGGAGACCACAATTAAAGTTTAATTATTGAAATAATATAAATAAAAAATTTAATTATTACCTTCTACATTTTATTATTGTTTGGAAATAGGAAAAATATTTGGAAATCGTAATACTCAAATTATGCGCATTCGATAAATCGTAATTCTCACATCTAAGCGAAAGTCATACACTCTTTATTTAGACATGAAACGTTTTAAACTCTGTGCTGCATATATTTATTAATTCTAAATTTAGGATATAAACAAGATCTAGAATTTTTAATTGAGTAAATGAATAGTATAATAGTTTTCTTTAGTATACTAAATACATTTTTATATAATCCAGAATAACTTAAATAAAAGCGCGTCAATTTTGATAAACCGAATCTAATCCTCATATTACAATTATTGTAAATATTTTTTCGTTTCAAGTAAAAATGGCAGCAGAACCAGAATTGCTTAAAGTAATACGTAGGATTCAATATCCAATACCTCAATTTGCATTAGGTTCACTACCAGCTATAGCAACTGTAGGAACAACTCCACATAATGGTTTGCTGGCAAAAATCATGTGGTTTATGCGATCTTTAGGTTGCCCATTCACTCCATTATTATATTTCTGCAATATTGAGAATAATTCAGTGGCAATGAGTGCGTTTTGGCTCTCATCTGAATACTTTAAAATCGAATGTGAAATCGAGGATAAAACAGAGGATGAGGATACTATCAGAATTGAAATTGAAGATGAAAATGAAAGCGCACTATTTATCAGGCCCGTTGGTCATCATGCTATGAAAATAGAACCTGATGAAGAACAGAAAAGTGTTATAAATAATTGGGTATCTGAAGCATCTTTATTAGATAGATTGTCGTCAATAGTATCGGCATATTACATATTAGTTGGCATATTTGCAGGAATAACTAAAGCGGCTGGTCCGTGTATGACTGATAATTCATTACAAGATTGGCCATATATCCCATTGTTATTAATTTGGACACTATCTGCAATTTATGTTAGGATAATGAAGGGAAGAGTGGTAAATAAAGTATTATCAGAAAATCTTAAAAGTAAAATAATTGTCAAAAATTATACATCGGGTGAAATTATAACAATAAGAGCTCATGCTGCAATTACCGCTTTAGCTTCAATAGCGCTTCCTTGGTTAGCTGTCATTATAGCCTATTTCACTCGCCCGGTCGGATTTTTCTGTCGAAGCAAATATCTGACTGTGATATGCTCTATATGGTCGTTCAATAGTATTATTGCTTATATTTGTCATGTGAAAGGAGAAAAGAATGAATATGGTCATTGGTTAATTCATACATGGTTCTGTGTTTGTGGTGTTGCTGTAACGGTAGCATTAATACTATTAAGTTTGCTAGCCAATACAAAGTCTTGGTGGATAGATATATTTGGCGACGTTTGTAATGTCCCACTTGTATGTGAATAGCTTAATTATTCTAGTTAATGCATAAAAATCATATTTCCGCAAAACCCTTTTTATTGCGCCTAGCCAAACTATATAACTTTATACAGTGCATATATCGATATACTAGTAATAAATTCACATGATATAAATAAAAAAATTGTCCAAGATATCAGTTTAACCAGATGCATTTTCATAATAATACAGTAATAGGTTCAAATGTTAAAAATGCTAACCATATTTCATTATATCCAGTATTACAATCATTTGGGAGCGCAGTGCAAATACATGCACAGTTTAGCATCAGTCGTAACTCATGGGTAAATTTATTTGGGATCGGTTCTTAAAGGTTCAAGATATTGTTGAATTGTTCAATTCCCTGTTTATTGGCATGATAAGGCACTCTTTATATACATTTTTATGAATTATCAGGAACTTGTATTAAGCATGATAGACTGTAATTACAGTTTCATCCGCTAATCTTTTGAAATTTCAGTTTCAATAATCAGAGATTCTTTGTATTACAGGCTACTTGATAATTAAAGTTACCAACAATTTAGGAGCTTTTAATGATATCTAATCCAAGCCTCAAATTACTTGATTACTTGTCACTGGAACTAATCATAATAAACAGGGTGACTTTCTCGCTATTCGGAAAATCACGGGCTTTGTAATAAGATTGTTGACCAATCAAAAACAAGCTTTATCAACACACGATCAAAACAGATAGATAATAGTCGAACTAAGCAGCCAATCAACGAGCATTATACATATATGACAATTTCGTTCATAGTTTTAACTTCGAAATAAAATAACTCGCGTTGTAAAGGAATTAAACTATTCACCCATATTATAATAACAGCGTTACAATTTTAAAAACTTATTTAAGAGAGTTTCAATAGCAAGTTACACGTCTTTCAATCATTTTTCTTAAACAACTCACGTAATTAATAAAACTATACTATCGTACATATTAAATTACTTTGATTGTGTTAAATATCTTTTAAGAAGCATGTATATTTAAAAAAGAGTCTGCATAAGTTGATGAATAAAAATTAACAAGTTATTGAAATAATAAAAAAAAGAAAGGAAAAACAACGTTAAACTTTGCGAATTAAGCGCGTTATGCAAGCTTGATGCAACTTGATGCTTTAACAAGACGTTCGCTACGAAGGTATTTTATTAGTAAAGTATAGTATGTTTAGTTTT